CATCCATCCATCCATCCATCCATCCATCCATCCATCCATCCATCCAGCCATCCATCCATCCATCCAGCCAGCCATCCCTTTTCTTCCACTTATCCGTGGTCAGGTTGCAGGGTAGCAGCCTAAGTAGAGAGGCCCAGACTTCCCTTTCCCCAGCCACTTGGGCCAGCTCCTCTGGGGGAATCCCAAGGCATTCCGAGGCCAGCGTGTCCTGGGTCTTCCTCTGGGTCTCCTCCCGGTGGGACGTGCCCTTAACACCTCACTAGGGAGGCGTCCAGGAGGCATCCTAACCAGATGCCTGAGCCACATCAACTGTAAAACCTTTGCAAAACCAATTATTACTTTTTGAGCCAACTTGAATTACCAGCTGTTCAAATTACGTAGTAGTTATCAGAATTAAAATATTTTAAAGTAATTTTTTAAAACCCTTGTTGCTACTACTTTTGCCAGCAAATTTAGAAATACCCTTTTTGCTACTTTTCTGTCCAAGCAGCAGGTGAGCAAAAACTTCTCACAAAGAAACTGACTGAAGTGGTCTGTGAGGCCCAGGGGCTGTACTTTGAACAGACTTTGGCAGAGAGGTTTATGGGGCAGTGTTAATATGCCTCAGCCACTGCTCGAGGGATGTCGAGCTCATATTTCTGAGGATTTTTAACAGGGTTTCAAGACAAGTGGCTGCTCCAAATACAAGCTTACATATCACAGTGGTAGCTTGCTTTATTTCATGAAGGTACATAGACAGGACATACTATTAGTGTCCTAATCAGGCAAGATCCTTTGTTTCACGACTTATGCATGCTGGCCTTAAAATTTTGCAAACAACTTTGTCTCACTCTGCGATGAAAACAAACAAACAAACAAAAACAGAACAGAAATGACTGCATTTGTGTTTCAATAGTGTCTGCATTTGTTTCTAAGAACCTGAACATGCTTGCCATCAGTGATAATCTGGAACAGTTTCCAAACATTCAAACCTGGCACGGTGACAAACAAATATGTCATCTTGACTCTTCCCAGACTCAGCACACACTCATGCACTGCCATCCTAACTACATCCATATGTCAGAGCTGAGGGGATGTGTCACTTCACTGCTGCTCTTGCATACGTCCTTTTTTATGCACAGGAGACATTTTTACATGTGGCTCATCAATGTTCAGTCAGATCAACTGGATGGTTTCTTTTTTTTTGCTGAGACATTTCGTCCTTCATCTGAAGGACTTCTTCAATTTGAGAAGCCACCAAAAAACTGGGTCCCACCATAAGCAGGACACTCCCACAGTGGGAAAAAAAGCTTGCTGGTGATAAGATGGACTCTGGGGCCCGCTCTCTCCCCTGTCAACTCCTCTGAGGCAGCCATGCCAAAGTGGTTCAAAATACCAAAATTCATGCTCAATAATCCAGGTAATAATCCAACAATGTTCAGTCAGGTCATCTGGACTGTTTCTTTCTTTGCTGAGATGTTTTGTCCTTCTTCTTCTGACTTCTTCATCTGAAGAGCCACCAACAAACTGGGTCCCACTACAAACAGCACACTCCCATAGTGTTTGCTACCACTTTGGCAAGGCTGCCTCAGAGGAGTTGACAGGGGAGAGGGTGGGTCTTGGAGGCCATCTTATCACCAGAAAACTGGTTTGTTTCCAATATGAGAGTGTGCTGCTTGTGGTGGGACCCAGTTTGTTGGTGGATCCTGAGACTGAAGAAGTCTTTCAGATGAAGGACAAAACGTCTCAGCAAAAAAATGAAAACGTCCAGATGACCTGACTGAACATTGTTGGATTACCTGGATTACTGAGCATGAACTTTGGTGTTTATATGTGGTATTGAATTCATACAATTCTTTGATTGCACACATCTTCATAAACCTCGAGGCTTATTTTAATACACATTTCAACTTGGAAACAATGATATGGTGATGAGAAATAAATAGGAATTGGTTCAGAGATGTACAAGGGCTATTCAATTCAGTTTATTTATATAGTGCCAAGTCACAACAAAGTTGTCTCAGGGCACTTTACAGGAACATTCACATACATAAAAGCTATGAAAACAGGTATATGACAGAGAGACAAACAAACATGCATCCTTCATAGAATGGTTCTAGTTAAATTATAAATAATTCAAAAGCACAAGTTCAGTTACCATCAAGCTAAAAACTGCCCAAGTGTTGAGGCCCTATTTTACTCAAAATCCAAAGCATTTCACCTTTGTGTAATTTGACAATGATTCAGTTTACCAGTAGTGTGAAATAAGCGGCTTTTCACAACCCTGAGGGAAGCAAGAAGGCTGTGTGTGATTATGTTTTTTATATTTTCATATTTCAGGAGCAATCAACTCTCAAATGTAACAATTTAGGTTTACAAAGCATGCATGTAAATTAAATATCCTTGGAGATGAATTACAAAACAGGCTCATTAGGGGAGCTTTGTTTTGTGTCTGTTAT